TTTACATCCTGCACATTAAGCCCGCCCCACATAACCCCCGCCCTCACTCCACTGTGTCCATGTGAACGAAACCTGCGTCTATCCGAGTTAGTATTCCCTGTCATCTGGCAGCGCTCCAGAGCCGGACTCGCCTTGTTCTTCTCGATGACGTTGGCGAATTCCCCGGTCCAGATGAAGCAGAGGTGTGGTGTGACAAGTAGGAAGCAGTCGCCGCTGTTCAGGGAGGACGCTCTGGGTTCCACCAGCCTGGTCTGGACGTGCCGTCTGCCTGGTGTTACATGGGCGGGGGACAACAACAACACACAGGACAGGTGGCTTATCGGTGACCGCTCTGATTCAGCATGCCTGGATTATCATACTGGGGGTGTCGGGGGGGGGGGGGCGCAACGATGTGCCAGCCACCGACATTTGGCCCTGTACATGTATGGACGTGTATCTGCCATGTCAAGTACCCATCTCTATGAATTCTCCTTCCAGCTAATTCATGTAGCCAGGACAGTTTGTTGACTACATTAAATCATAAATGCTGCTCATTATAAACTCTAAGGGTTTTTTAGGGGCCTCAGTGACTCACAATCCCATTGGCTCTTCAGGTGATCTAAGCAGCAGCTATTCTAAAAACACCACTCTCAACACTGTCAGGTCAGGACGGCTAGTCTTCTAACAAAGCGCGTCCCCCCCCCCCCCCCCATACATTTGCTCTGGATTACAGACAGTGGTGTTTTAAGGAGCGGATCAGCCCAGGATAGTGTGAGGTGACCTGGGGGGGGGGATTTAAAGCCACAGCTGTCACCGGCAGACGTGAGGAGGAGGTGCAAGGACACCAAAATAGACCAGACTCCTATTTTAGATATCCTCTTGAAAGGACACTCTCGAAGCAGCATCCTTCAAAAGCTTTGTGTAAGACAGCAGCCATTTGTTTTTCTATCCTCTTAAACAGCCGAACGTAATCGCTGGTCAAACTGCTGCGTAGCATTTTTTTTTGTCTCTGCGAAAACAAACAACCTCATTTAAAAAGATCAGGAAAATGTAGGCAGATGTTTTGGATCCCTTCCTGCTTGGCTGGCTTGTTAGTTTAGTAAACATGTTGCATCCTCAAGTATGTCTATTTAAAGAGACTTCCCTCAATCTTACTTTTGTAAGGGTTGTGCTTTCAACAGAAGACAGATATTTCTTGGTGTGACACGATGGCCTCTGTGCCCCCTCAGGACAAATCCTTATAGAGTGGTGCAAGGAAGACGTATTTTTGTTGGCCAACCTCGGAAGTTAGCATTGGAATAGTTCCTTGGATTTTTTGCAATGGATTTTGGATTATTGAAAAAATAATTCTCCTTGGTAAACAACTTTTCAAACAAGATACTTAAGTATGTTGTTCAACAGGATAATCTTAAATGAACGCCACCTTTATGATAGTTGAAGCGTAAACGCAATCGGCAGAAGTTAAAACGCTAACGTGAGGCTATAACACCACAGTCGCTGACATATTTTATATCGAAGAACAAACCTTATTTCAGGCGTTTAACCAAAAACCCATTTAACAAACCCACCTACTATGAGACGAGGGAGCCGGAACTTGCTAACTCATTTCTAAGTTAAATGACTTATTCCTATACCACTCTATTAGTTATACCATTGGTCCCTGGTTCTCAACTGGTGCTGGGTTAGCGTCCACAAATTCAGTAGGGTGCATTCTGGCTGAGTCGCTTTAAAAAAACAAAACAGTTAGTCCAATTAAATTTTGAAGTGTGCTGAATTTGAACTCCAAATTCTGAACAGTGCCGTTATGTTCATCAGCCAAGCTAACGCTAGTGGTGTCGCTCTGGTAACGGCAATGCACAAGATGTCACTCGAGTAGCAGGTGCTATTACATGCAACTTTTAGGTACACCTAGCCCATGGCAAATTCGCGCGGTTGTTATTGCCCTAATTTCGCTCTCCAGTTGCAATTCTTATAATTACTTTGTTTTCATTTTGTGAAGTAATATGGAAACAGGCAGCACAGAGGTTAGCACCCTTTCCTCACAGGATGGAAGGAAATGAAACTAAAGGGGAGTTAAGTTAGCCTAAAATGTGAACTTGGATGTAGACCTGTTTTTAGACATTTTTATTAAATACTATTGGTTTACATTTATGAAAAGACAGGCCTGTGAAAATGTGGGCAAAGATGGCAATTGGTATTATAACCCTAGGGGATTTCAGTGAGTGCCCATTCAGTAGGATACAGAAAAAAAAAAAAAAAAAAAAAAGACCCCGTTGTGGGTGCAGGTGCATCTGACTGTCTATGGTCTGAGCCACCTTCTCGCTCCACTGACCTTTGACCTGTAACAGCATGAGTTTCTTGTAAGGCACGGCGCTGTTGTTGGACATCTGCTCAGAGATGTTGACGCTGCGCAGGTTGACGTTGCTGAAGTTCTCCTTGCTGGCCAGACCGGCCAGAGCCACGTCAGAGAAACCGGAGTTCTTGTTCACTGCAGTGAGCACAACAGAGACACACGGAGAGGGGACATGAGGCGGAAGAATACATTCAAGTCATTTCATTTACCCCCCTTTATACAGATGAGACAACGGCTGGAGAGTAAATGACCTTTTCATGCCAGACTAACCCGGTCTCTATACGACTGTAACAGATATAGAACACTCCAGAGACAGTTTAAGTGTAATTCTATTGCTGTCAGAGGAGGTGATGGAGGAAGTTATGGGAGTAGCATGACATTGTCTTTGTAGCTTATCTAACGTTACTCTCAAAACAAGCTACAGACCTCGTCCAGCTTTTGAGGACGACTCTGCACAATGACAGGAAACTGACTCCAGTCCCAGATGTAGGTCATTCGACCATTAACAGACTGCGTATAAGTGACGCGTGATTTAGATGCATGTTCAGCTCTTTCTTGTGTTGTTTTAAACACTGGAGGAACAAATATTTTTGTCAATATTACAAAGACAAGAAAAAACCGACAATTATTGCACTTGGACAATTCTGATATTTCATAAATAAATTTCATATTTCTGTAGGCGCACATTTATAAAAGCTCATGTATTTTCACACCACTTTCACATGAACGTGAAGGTGGCGGGCCAAATCAATGGACTTATAAAACATTCAAGGTTTAATATTGTAATGTCAAAATTGATATTGACGGTGTTGTGCAAATTTTGAAGAAAAAAAAGGAGCCAGTCACATGTTGCGTCCCTGCCCGGTTTTGGTCTCCTGCATTGTCCCAGCCCCTCGTCCACCCTCACTCACTCTTCTCAGCCTTCATCCTCTTGCTCTCCAGCAGGCCGATGTTGAGCCTCTGCTCCGTGTACTCGTGTCTGATGTCCTCCCTGGCGGCCAGCATCTTCAGAGGGTTCCTAGACGACTGGACGTTACGCGCCGGGCGCACCGCCCGCTTGTGCTGCTCCATCTCCGAGGTCAGCCTGGGGAGGGTGTCAGAGGGGGAGGGGCGCGGTCGACAGAGGGGAAAATTAAGAGTCTCACAATGATGTCGGGCTTCTTACTTGAAAAATGACCTCCGGCAGGTGAGAGCTTACTTTGGCACCTGGGGGCCGAAGATGGCATCGAAGTCGTCGAAGTCCATCTCCACCTTGTTGGTGGTGGCGGGGTGCTCCTCCGCTTGGCGGTAGAACTTGGAAAAAGTTTCGTCCTCGAGGGCCATCACCTCCTTCACCTCCTTCTGTGTGACTGTGATGGTTGCTTCTGGCAGTCCAGACACTGAGGGGAGACAAGATGAGGCCGGGTCAGGATCATGTTACATCCAGAGTTCATTGAAGTTACTTAAGCATCACCGAGCTCGTGTATTGCTGATGGAAGATGTGCTCATTTATATATTTATGGATAAATTAAAAAACAAGATTGTAACTTTGATTTGAGGAAAACTTTACAGTAATATAGTAGAAGTCTTACTTCTATACACAAATCCTCCGTGTTCTTATCATATCAAACCAGATTTTGTGAAACTATCTTTTTATAATTTTGTCTTAATTTGTCATTTTCTGCACACGCCTGAAATGACCTACAAACACACAAAGTAGTAAATATTAGTTGTTGTTGTTGGTTTATTAACACAATTCATTATTTTAATTTGGCTGGGCTGTGAAAGATACATGATCGTCTTTCGTTGCATTTCTTTCTTTTATATATATTTTTAAGTATATATATTTGACCCTATTTTGCTGTTGAAGCCTGAATTAAAGAACAACACGAGGAACATGTGTGCCCCGTCTTCACAACAAATCACAATCGATCATCAATTCCCCCATTTAATGTCAAGACATTAAGCAGGGACTCTTATTTTTCTTTAATCCATACTGTATGTGCTCACATGCTCGTGTGTTCTTCTGAATATTCATTTTAAACATAAGTAGGGTTTGTTATGGTTGTAGAAAAGTTGAAGGAAGGTTGTTCTTACACTTCGATTGGCATGAAAGTTAAAAAAAAAAAAAACAATGTTGCCAAAGCATAAAAAGTACACAATAATACAAATATATTAATTAATAATATTATAGTATTAGGAATATATATATATATATTTTTTATATATCACTCTCTGGGCACATATCTAATCTTGTGCTACTGCAGCCTTCCATTAACACAACTGCCTTGAATGAAGGCAGACCTAGTGAGATGTACTGCTGTTGTGACTTTCACGTAAAACTGACTCTGGTGCTTCTTCTAACTAGAGGCCGACATGTTAAATTGCCAGAACATTTATGTGCATGTGTAAAAAAAGGTCCTGTTAAAATGTGCTTGCCGTAACCAGCAGTAGCCACAGTACTGAACTGTTACAGGTTATTTCTGGGATATAATAAAAGCATGCCATATCTTCAAGGAAAAATAGATTCTCTCTTCTCAAATGAATTGGAGAATACCGCATTTAATTCATTACGTTTGGTCTCGGTTACACAACTGATATCCATCAGGAGATTTAACTCTGTGTAAGAATCTATAATCGATTGCATGTTATAACGCGGGAACATTTTTTTTCTCAGTGAGTGAGCAGAGTAGACAGCGTGCTAAACGAGATTGACCTTTGCTGTTGAGCTTGCCGAGGAATGACTCCAGTTTTTCCAGCTTCATGTCTGACTCCAGGTTCAGATCTGGCACGGCCTTGATCTCTGCGCGCACGAACACGCACACGCACACACACACACACACACACACACAGTTTGAGCCATAAATTGACTCTGATTGTAGCACAGATCCAACTGTATCTGTAAACAGGCAGGAAGTCTGAGCTTTTGTTGTTCAGTGATGCCGATTTGGAACAATGACTGAGCATGAATGAACAGTTGCACACGGTCACTATGAACTTATCTGAACATATATTTATTGCACGTCACAAGCATTTTAACAACAATAAACAGCCACTGAATATGAATCCAGACTCATGCATGTGGATGGTAACATTATCCAATGGTTTATATCCTATTAGGCTTTGATAACCTAATAGAAGTGGTGATTTTTTTGTGGTTCTGGTGATGATGAACATTGCATTCAGTGCAACATCGAAATAAGAAAATAGAAAAGGAATAGACCTTCCATATCAGACGACATCTCCATGTCTTGTGAAAGCGAAGCAAAGACAAATAAGATGTGACCCAGAATCATTTTCAAAACTCTGCATTTGTCAGCTCAGAATCTATCCATCTAAGTTCAAGTCAACAATTCAGCTACTCAACTGTGTGTAGAATTGGGTTTGGACAGTGTGCTTGGTGTCAAACTGACCTTCTTGAGGTTTGGAGATGGCAAGGCTGCTGTTCTTGGGTTTGGGGGACAGAGGCGACTGGAGGGCTGATGGGGAAGCCAACCCTGTTGTAAGAACACAGACAGGTATGAACATCCAAAAATGCATGATATGGTTATCTGGTATGACATGTACAGTTTGTGAAAAACAAATCGGATATTATTTGTGGTCCAGTTTGATTTTATAAGCCAAAGATTGCGATGTCACTAGAACATTGGTTCGATGTACACCAAAGAACAGTTCGTACTTGAAGACGCTAGCACTTTGCTCAGTGTTAACTAATGTAGAGGAGTAAACACAGCTAAACATAGGTGGGATGGACCCCTGTATTATTATCATTAATAAAATGGAGGAGCTTTCATTTACAGAACATCGCGAGGCGTTGCGTCATGATGTAAGAGTCTCGAAGGACCGCTACGACCTGCAAGGTGAGGGGCAGGTGACTGAAGGGGCTAGCTGAGCTAGCGGGCTAATGTGTTAGCACTTTTAGTGCCAGTTGACCACTGTTGCATGATGGTATGATGTCATATTTGGACTGAAGTTGATAGCTTTTTTAAGTTTGTTTCTCTCGACTATACGTTTGCAACTTTTCGGATCGTTTGAATGACAATTTGTGAAAACCGACTAGAGGTCAATGAATATAGAAACAGCCTGTTGCTAAATGAGCTTCACCGACGGAATCGCATTGCTAGGCAACAGCTCGTGTTCATGTTTACTTCCTGTCTGCTTGTGTCATTCACATACACTGCAACGAGAAATAGAGAAATACACAGATACATTTGGAATATTAACGTTGACTCTGAAATGGTCTATACAGAGTCGGATTCATTTTTCATGGACAGTGTTTTATGCACTTTTGCACCGTTTATTCCCCCCAGCTGATAACTGGGACGAGGTCTTTGCAGGAATCCGGGCAGAAAGCAGACTCTGAACTGCAGATGGGCATGTCTGCATGCGCCTCCGAGAGAGAAGGACTGTAGAGGATATGTGTGTGTGTTCAGTTTCCCCTCTGACCTTTCTTCACCATGCGAGCGGCCACTGTGAACTGGGTGGAGTCGTTGGCGGCTCCGTGGCCTTTCGTCTTCCAGGCCTCCTCTTGGGCTACGATCAGCCGCTTCCTCTCCTGGATGGACATCTGAGCCTCGATCCCCTGGCACTCTATCTCCGCCTCAGCTAGTCTCTGAGAAGGGAGAGAAGTCACCGTCAGTTACAATAAAAACACTCCCGATGGACTGAAAGTTAAAGGACTAATCCACCTCAGGTTACGACGCTTCAGTTTGTGGTGACCCATACATTCCAGGAAGCATTTCGGGAGTAGGTATCCACAACAGTGCTTTGTGTTAGACTCTTCCTGGAATGACTGGGGCACTTGGGACTTTGACAGAAGGAGTAGATCCTTGGAAGTACGTTGTCACACTAACCTACAGCAAAAGGAAACTAGAATGACCGCCTTGTGGCCGTGTGCCTCCGCCAACCAAAGCTGCTGTTTACATCCACGTCCTTCCCAAATGTTGTCCCTTTGTCATAATTAGAATATGAATTCTTGCGTTATGGCCTAAAAGCATATTTTGTGAGGTCACAGTAACCTCGATCTTTGAACACCAAAATTGAATCAGGTCCTCCGAATCAAAAGAAATTCCCTCAGGGCGTTCCTCAGGTATCCCTTTCACAATGGACGGACAGAGGGACAGACGGACGGACGACCTGAAGACATTACGGCCACGGCTATCACCGTAAAAAACAAAACAAATACACCATCTGCCAACACAATGGAACCATCTTAAGTTGCCATTGGTTGTTTGTTTAAAGCGTTTAAATGTGGATAAATTCCTTTAGGCCACATTCACAAACAGACAAGTACCCGAACACAACGAGGACACCAATGGGGGGAGATTAATACACAGGAAGCCCCTTAATCCCCGTGTTTCTTTTCCACTGGGTGACTTTAGAAATGTTTTTGTGTCACTCGTTAAAGTTCAAATAAAAGAAATGTTAGTTAACAAAGTGAAGACAAAGAACAATAGCAGACAGCGTCCTTTAATTGCAACTTAACCCATTTGGTCTAAATACTGATTTATGTTGCGAGAGCACTTCATACAACATTGACAGTGGTCACCTTTCGTCTCCAGGGGTGTCTCTCGTCCACCCGCGTGGGTCTGGGCGATCTGATGGTCTTCACAAACCAGAGGCGTGGGATGAGGAAGGTAAGAAAGGATGAGGGTTTAGAGAATGGAGGTTGAAGAGATGGTAGAAAATGTCCAAGCTCTGCACAAGCACCGGATGCCACAGGGGGCCGCCATGCTGACCCCGCGGGCAGAAGTGCTGAAGCTTCAGGAAGGGGATGTTTTAGAGGTGCGGAGGAGCAGGGCGGCTGTGAAAGGACTGTGAGCATAACGTGCACACGCCATGCCAGCATGGTTGCAGCTGAGGGGGCAAAAAAAAGGACCACACACTTATGGCTGAAGAGCTTTTCTGCAAACCCTCACTCTCTGTTTCAGGGAAGACGCGTGTTAAAACGAAGGGGGTTTGCATTTCAGAGCTTAGTTAGGTAGCCGGGGGGGTGGGGAAGCAAAGCAGAGGGCGAGCATGGCGTGCAGCAGGAGCTGATGCGGCTTCCTACCTGGCTGGCCGAGTCATCGGGGGATGGAGAGCGGGGAGGAGGCTCAGGAGGAGGAGAGAAAGTCTCCTATAGAAACACAGCCATGGAGAGAGGACGCAGTATTTAAAAAGGGGCGTTCCAAAGATTCTATTAACCTCCGGTGATGTCACAGTGATAACGTCAGGGTTATCTCAGCTTGAGCTTGGAGACCACACATTTATAACAGGAGGCCCGTGTAATAAGCAAGCGGTGTAAGGTTAGAAAGAGGTGGGCAATGCATTCTGGGAAGTGTAGGATGCAGTGTTCTTAGAGCTTTACCCAAGCTAGGAACTAAAAGTCAAGATACCTCAATCTCATTTCCCACAAGTCCCTAAAATGTATGACACTTTATGAAACTCACTGAACAAAATAACAAAATGAAAATCACTTTTTTCATTCATGTCACTGTTTAGTTACATTTAGTCTAAACTGTAATGCCCTTCTTAATGATTTCCAGGTGTGTAATTATGGTAGAGAACACAAAATTCCTTTTACTTTAAACCAGCAATAATTGAATTATTAAAAAGTTCTAAGCTGCTAAATGCTCCACTATGATCACCAGCTAGTGGCTAACTCTGTCTGTTGTTTCAGTCCAGCATAGTTGGTCTATCAGAGGGAAACCGGAGCGCTGGTTGATAATCCTCTTATCCTGTCACATAATACATCACATCATTTGATCCATTGTTCAGATAAAATATTGATTAGTCCAGCTTAAAGTTTGTATGTTTTCTCTTGAGAAATTGAGTCTGCTTGAACATGATAATCAGCCTTAAAAAATGCGATCTCAAATATTACTAATAAGAGGGGATTATAAAGTCTGCAACGTAATGTGCCTTTTGTAATGTTGGATACATTTTGGAATGCACATTTTCGATAAGTAAAATCTATATTGAATATACCTTTTACAGAATATATGACATATTAAAAACAAAAGACAACTACAAACATTATAGAGGCCAACTAAGGAAACTGGAATTTGATAATTATAATTGCATTTTATTTCAGTTTATAGTCTATATAAACATGTGCTATGGCCTTTCTGTTATCTTATCTATTTGCATTTTTTTTTAATATTCATATATTTGTTTGCTATTTTACGTTTGTATAATTATGATTATTATAATTTGTCTTTACACATGTGGGCTTGTGTGTGGGTGTGTAGATGTTTGATATTACCATAAGACAATAAACACGCACAAAAAATCCCTCATGCGTAATATTTGCATTATAGGAAAATAAACTCTTCTGTGTCATTAAACAACTGCATTCACAGAAATATTACGAGGATATGCCCCGACATGGAGAGCGATAAGGATAAGGATTACAGTCCTACTCTGGCCTTCATACATGGCTCACATTAGCAACGAATTATCTCTGGAAACGTTATGACGATTAGAGAAGAACACACTTTAGACACACAGACTGCACATCCAGTGTGTGAGAGACATCCTTAACATAATTCTGAAACCCAACGAGAAGAAGGTGTGATGAATTAGAGAACACTGTCACCATGATTTTAAGGGAAACACCCAAACACAGCACCACTACCAACACCACCACTACCAACACCACCACACACACACACACACACACACACACACACACACACACACACACAC